ATATGACCGAAGGCTTCTGCTGGCATACCGGTCCACCTCTTGATAAAATTCATTCCACTCATATGACATTTCTAGAACCAATATTGCGGCTAATAGTTCCTAGTTTTACAGCCCAAGAGCTGTTATCCTACTTCAGCTCATTTCGAAGCTCAGCTCTATCTGAGGTATACCAACGCCCTCCCCCCAGGATGCCACCCATAACAGGCAGCTAACACCCAGATACTGCTAGGCGAGCAAGGGCAGCAGGTGTTAGGAAACATGCCCAAAGTTTCCATCCTGTCGGGAATCGAACCAGGGACACTCAGTATATGAATGCACTATCACCAGTATCCTCTTCTTTATCAGTACACACTGTCACTAGTACACTCTTCATTAGTACACACTGTCACCAGTACCCTCTTTATAATTACCCACTGTCACCAGTACCCTCTTTATAATTACCCACTGTCACCAGTACCCTCTTATATATTACCCACTGTCACCAGTACCCTCTTTATAATTACCCACTGTCACCAGTACCCTCTTTATAATTACCCACTGTCACCAGTACCCTCTTTATAATTACCCACTGTCACCAGTACCCTCTTTATAATTACCCACTGTCACCAGTACCCTCTTTATAAGTACCCACTGTCACCAGTACCCTCTTTATAAGTACCCACTGTCACCAGTACCCTCTTTATAAGTACCCACTGTCACCAGTACCCTCTTTATAAGTACACACTGTCACCAGTACCCTCTTTATAAGTACCCACTGTCACCAGTACCCTCTTTATAAGTACACACTGTCACCAGTACCCTCTTTATAAGTACCCACTGTAACCAGTACCCTCCTTATAAGTACACACTGTCACCAGTACCCTCTTCATAATTACCCACTGTCACCAGTACCCTCTTTATAAGTACACACTGTCACCAGTACCCTCTTTATAAGTACCCACTGTCACCAGTACCCTCTTTATAAGTACCCACTGTAACCAGTACCCTCCTTATAAGTACACACTGTCAACAGTACCCTCTTCATAATTACCCACTGTCACCAGTACCCTCTTTATAAGTACACACTGTCACCAGTACCCTCTTTATAAGTACCCACTGTCACCAGTACCCTCTTTATAAGTACCCACTGTAACCAGTACCCTCCTTATAAGTACACACTGTCACCAGTACCCTCTTTATAAGTACCCACTCTCACCAGTACCCTTTTTATAAGTACTCACTGTCACCAGTACCCTCATTATGAGTACCCACTGTCACCAGTACCCTCCTTATAAGTACACACAATCACCAGTACCCTCCTTATAAGTACGCACTGTCACCAGTACCCTCCTTATAAGTACACACTGTCACCAGTACCCTCTTTATAAGTACACACTGTCACCAGTACTCTCTTTATAAGTACACACTGTCACCAGTACCCTCTTTATAAGTACCCACTGTCACCAGTACCCTCCTTATAAGTACACACTGTCACCAGTACCCTCCTTATAAGTACACACTGTCACCAGTACCCTCTTTATAAGTACACACTGTCACCAGTACCCTCTTTATAAATACACACTGTCACCAGTACCCTCTTTATAAGTACACACTGTCGCCAGTACCCTCTTATAAATACCCCCTGTCACCAGTAACCCTCTTTATAAGTACACACTGTCACCAGTACCCTCTTTATAAGTACACATTGTCACCAGTACCCTCTTTAAATACACTCTGTCACCAGTACCCTCTTTATAAGTACACACTGTCACCAGTACCCTCTTTATAAGTACACACTGTCACCAGTACCCTCTTTATAAATACAAACTGTCACCAGTACCCTCTTTATAAGTACACACTGTCACCAGTACTCTCTTTATAAGTACACATTGTCACCAGTAACCTCTTTATAAGTACACACTGTCACCAGTACCCTCTTTATAAGTACACACTGTCACCAGTACCCTCCTTATAAGTACACTGTCACCAGTACCCTCTTTATAAGTACACACTGTCACCAGTACCCTCTTTATAAGTACACACTGTCACCAGTACCCTCTTTATAAGTACACACTGTCACCAGTACCCTCTTTATAAGTACACACTGTCACCAGTACCCTCTTTATAAGTACACACTGTCACCAGTACCCTCTTTATAAATACAAACTCTCACCAGTACCCTTTTATAAATACACAACTGTCACCAGTACTCTCTTTATAAGTACAAAACTTTTCACCATTACCCTTTATAAGTACACACTGTCACCAGTACCCTCTTTATAAGTACACACTGTCACCAGTACCCTCCTTATAAGTACACTGTCACCAGTACCCTCTTTATAAGTACACACTGTCACCAGTACCCTCTTTATAAGTACACACTGTCACCAGTACCCTCTTTATAAGTACACACTGTCACCAGTACCCTCTTTATAAGTACAAAACTGTCACCAGTACCCTCTTTATAAGTACACACTGTCACCAGTACCCTCTTTATAAGTACACACTGTCACCAGTACCCTCTTTATAAGTACACACTGTCACCAGTACCCTCTTTATAAGTACACACTGTCACCAGTACCCTCTTTGTAAGTACACTGTCACCAGTACCCTCTTTATAAGTACACACTGTCACCAGTACCCTCTTTATAAGTACACATTGTCACCAGTACCCTCTTTATAAGTACACACTGTCACAGTACCCTCTTTATAAGTACACATGTCACCAGTACCCTCTTAATTCATACCACTTTCACCAATACCCTCTTTAATAAATACAAACTATCCCCCCACTTACCCTCTTTATTTAAGTACAACACACCCCCTATCACCCATACTCACAATTAATAAGAACAACATATATTCCCTGTCATTACAACTATTGTAATGGTTTTACCAAATGTTCACCATACCCTCTTTATAAAATACACACTGTCAACCATAACCCTCCTTAAAGTACACTGTCACCAGTACCCACTTTATAAACAAAAACTGTCACCAGTCCCCCTTATAAGTACACATTGTCACCCGACCCTCTTATAATACCAAATGTAAACCCTACCCTCTTAAAAAGACAAAAACTGTCACCTACCCTCTTTAAAGTACACACTGTCACCGTAAACCCCCTTTAAAATACAACGTCCCCCTACCCTCTTTAAAAGTACACAGCACCAGTACCTCTTTATAATTTCACTTTTCACCATTACCCTCTTTATAAGTAACCGTCACCCGTACCCCTTTTATAAGACACACTGTCACCGTACCCTCCTTATAATACACTGTCACCAGACCCTCTTTTTAAGTACAAAACTGTCACCATCCCCTTTATAAGTACACACTTCACCAGTACCCCTTTTGTAAATACACACTGTCACCAGTACCCTCTTTATAAGTACACACTGTCACCAGTACCCTCTTTGTAAGTACACACTGTCACCAGTACCCTCTTTATAAGTACACACTGTCACCAGTACCCTCTTTGTAAGTACACACTGTCACCAGTACCCTCTTTGTAAGTACGCACTGTCACCAGTACCCTCTTTGTAAGTACACACTGTCACCAGTACCCTCTTTATAAGTACACACTGTCACCAGTACCCTCTTTATAAGTACACTGTCACCAGTACCCTCTTTATAAGTACACACTGTCACCAGTACCCTCTTTATAAGTACACATTGTCACCAGTACCCTTCTTAATCCTCATTCACTTTCCAGTTTCCTAATACAATCGTAGTTAATCTAACCTCTTAACTATCCACGCCACTTCCACCATTATTCACCTGATTACCACCATTCATCCGACCTCTACTATCACCCATTTCACAATAATTAGAGAACTCACATAAATAATTGCCCTGTTAATTATCAAACTATCTGTAATGTGTTTTTTAGGGGCCAAATGTGCTATACAATTTTGAACTGCCGTTTTGCTTTGCAGACGCAAATAAATTAACGTTGCAAAACTAGGTTTAATCAGGACAACGTTTCGCTCTGTGTAGAGCTTTTTCAGGTCGTAATAGAGCTCTACAGAGAGCGAAACGCTGTCTCAATAGGTGTTTGCTCTGTAGTTCTTGATGGTTGATGAGTCAGATATGTGGAACGCAGAGGTATGATTTTTAGCTAAACGTTTCGCCCGCGCAGCAGACTTCTTCAGTCGAATACAGGTGAATGCAACACTGGAAACAGTAGAGGTAAATCTAAGACGAGACTGAGGGGAATAACCACCTCAAAATTAGTTCTTCGACTGACCCCAGTGCTCCACTCGCTCGTATTCGACTGAAGATGGCTGTTGCCTAAGCGAAACTTTTACAGCTGTAATGATAAACAAGTTTTGTACACGTCTTGTTCTTCCATCTGTGTTGTTTTAGTAACGTTTAGGTTAGGTTAGGTTTGTCAGGAAACAGGACAAGCGTTTCCTGACGCGGGTCTTAGTCATATGATGACCCGCAGCTGGAGCTTTTGGTCATCTGACCGAGGCCTTCAGCTGGCTTACCCCTCCACCCCTTTAAAAATTATGAAATAAAATAATGTACGTGTTAGTAAGAATTATAATAACAGTTAAGATTTTATGTTCATTCTGTAGCTCCATCATACTGGCACTACTAGTGCCACCTGTACGACTCAAGAGACATATTTACCAGGTAACGTTTCGCTCTCCAGGAGCTTTGTCAAGGTAATATAGACACTGTAAAGACAATAGCGAGATGAAAGAGGATAATTACAATAGGCCTACCGGCCCGCAATAAAAATATCTCTTTCATTGCACATTTTCCTTTTACCTAACATGGAAGAAATCGCAAAAAACGCATGATTGCAAATATGAGAAAAAACACCACGGTGAAAAATAGAAAATAAATTTTGAGCGCTTTCGTGTGTTTGCACACATCTTCAGAGGAAGATGTATGTGAGTAAGTAGACGAAAGAGCAAAGGCTTAATTTTCAGTTTTCACTGTGGTACTTTTTTTTATTGACTAAACATTATTACAGTGACCACTAATTGCTTTGCCCTCTCTTGCTGCAGGTATGCCGGGGGACCTGTACCCTGAGCTGGCGACTGTTCCCTACTTCCTGTCTCCCGGTCACCGGAACATCACCACTTCCGTCGGCCAGACAACTTACCTTCACTGTCGGGTGGCACTCCTAGGAGACATGGCGGTAAGTGGTTGGCACCGGGGGTATCCGTGTGTTCTAACCTGACTCTCGTCACTGTGGTTCGAGTCTCGGCTCCTGACCTCTTTGCCGCTATCAGGCTAATTCCCACCTAGTTTTGATGATTTCATACTACCTGCTCATCAGACATACTACCTGCTCATCAGACATACTACCTGCTAATCAGACATACTACCTGCTAATAGACATATTACCTGCCAATCACTTCGTTACAGTTTACAAGGGCAAAGGCAGTTAATACGGCAGATATCCCTACACACATCTTCATTAACGGCGCTTTCACCGACGTACCAATTCATCCATTTAGCAAAATCAGCGTAATTATATTTCCCCGTATTTCATTAACCCAGCCGGCGTATGTAGAGTAATTAGCGATAAGTGAGATGGGGATCATTTTCTGTAATCATTTTCATTCGCCATCACTGAGAGAGTGATGGTGAACGATGATGAGTTTTGGATAACTATGTCGTGCCGAATAGGTAAAACTTGCAATTTTGGCTTAAATAGCAACGCTCTTCTTGCCGAATAAGGCAAGCGAAAATTTCGCAAAAAAATCATTCTGGACCTAACGAAAAAAAAAATATTTCATTGTGTTTGTTTATTATTAAATTATTGTAAACTTATCTAAAATGTGCTTAGTTAGATTAGGCTAAATTAAATTTTGCTTGTTAAAATGAGGTTAGGTAAGTTTTCTAAGGTTCTTTTGGTACAAAATTATTAATTTTTACATTAATATAAATGAAAAAAAAATATTTCTTTATAAGTATAAGAAATTTTTTTAGAAAGGACTTAATTTTAAATGAGTTTCTGCTAATGGACCAATTTTACTTATTCAGCACGATATAATATATATATATAAATATATATATATATATTATATAATATATATATATATATATATATATATATATATATATATATATATATATATATATATATAATTATACTTTTAAACTGACTGCAATGATAGACGTGTGTTCGGCATTAAATGAATTATCCTAATTTGCATTGTGGTTCGAGTCACATAACTTATCCCGGAGACTTGCATGCGAATTCCCAGGAGAGTTGCATGTAAGGAAAAAAGTTGGTTGAGTTATGCGGCAGTAAAGGCTGGTGTTATATCCCAAAGTTGTGGGGAAATAATGTGGAATTATACTTGCAGCCCTCTCAACCACAAGCTTGTAGGATTTTCCTACTCTCTCTCTCTCTCTCTCTCTCTCTCTCTCTCTCTCTCTCTCTCTCTCTCTCTCTCTCTCTCTCTCTCTCTCTCTCTCTCTCTCTCTCTCTAACCTTAAAGATATTTCGTAGACAAAACACAGAAATGATTGCAACAACGAAGCAATGGACTATCAAACGAATAGTAGTAATAGTAATAGTAGTAGTAGTAGTAGTAGTAGTAGTAGTAGTATATGACCTATAATATTAGCCAATCAAACAATGGAAGCGTTATTGCTCAATATGCAGTACAGAATGCATAAGCAATATAAACTGCATAGAAAAAATATTATTGCCCTATGAAATCCTGAGCTCATAATAAAAGAAATAACTACAAAACTCCTTGCTTGTGTTGTGCATTGTTCAGGTGTTCATTGTTCAGATGTTCATTGTTCAGGTGTGCATTGTTCAGGTGTTCATTGTTCAGGTGTGCATTGTTCAGGTGTGCATTGTTCAGGTGTTCATTGTTCAGGTGTTCATTGTTCAGGTGTTCATTGTTCAGGTGTTCATTGTTCAGGTGTGCATTGTTCAGGTGTTCATTGTTCAGGTGTTCATTGTTCAGGTGTTCATTGTTCAGGTGTTCATTGTTCAGGTGTTCATTGTTCAGGTATTCATTGTTCAGGTGTGCATTGTTCAGGTGTTCATTGTTCAGGTTTTCATTGTTCAGGTGTTCATTGTTCAGGTGTGCATTGTTCAGGTGTTCATTGTTCAGGTGTTCATTGTTCAGGTGTTCATTGTTCAGGTGTTCATTGTTCAGGTGTTCATTGTTCAGGTGTTCATTTTTCAGGTGTTCATTGTTCAGGTTTTCATTGTTCAGTTGTTCATTGTTCAGGTGTTCATTGTTCAGGTGTTCATTGTTCAGATGTTCATTGTTCAGTTGTTCATTGTTCAGGTGTTTCATTGTTCAGGTGTTCATTGTTCAGGTGTCCATTGTTCAGGTGTTCATCGTTCAGGTGTCCATTGTTCAGGTGTTCATTGTTCAGGTGTTCATTGTTCAGGTGTTCATTGTTCAGGTGTGCATTGTTCAGGTGTTCATTGTTCAGGTGTTCATTGTTCAGGTGTTCATTGTTCAGGTGTTCATTGTTCAGGTGTTCATTGTTCAGGTGTTCATTTTTCAGGTGTTCATTGTTCAGGTGTTCATTGTTCAGTTGTTCATTGTTCAGGTGTTCATTGTTCAGGTGTTCATTGTTCAGGTGTCCATTGTTCAGGTGTTCATCGTTCAGGTGTCCATTGTTCAGGTGTTCATTGTTCAGGTGTTCATTGTTCAGGTGTTCATTGTTCAGGTGTGCATTATTCAGGTGTTCATTGTTCAGGTGTTCATTGTTCAGGTATTCATTGTTCAGGTGTTCATTGTTCAGGTGTTCATTGTTCAGGTGTTCATTGTTCAGGTGTTCATTGTTCAGGTGTTCATCGTTCAGGTGTCCATTGTTCAGGTGTTCATTGTTCAGGTGTTCATTGTTCAGGTGTTCATTGTTCAGGTGTTCATTGCTAAGTCAACGCATCTCATGTAAAGCCAACTTGCTCTAAGGTTACAGAATCACTAGCAAAAAAGTTACAACTTTAATAGCAAAAATAGCAATAGTAGTAAGTAATAGTAGTAGTAGTAGTAGTAGTAGTAGTAGTAGTAGTAGTAGTAGTAGTAGTAGTAGTAGTAGTAGTAGTAGTAGTAGCAGCAATAGTAGTAGTACATTCTTAGTAGCAGTAGTATATATATATATATATATATATATATATATATATATATATTATATATATATATATATATATATATATATATATATATATATATATATATATTATATATATATATGTATATTTATATATATATGTATGTATGTAAACAATAATTCAGACCACGACTCATACAGCAACGTTAAAATTCCCACGTATTTCCTTTTATGTACTTTACTTTAACTCCTTTTATCTGGAGTCTATTTCTCTCTCTCTCTCTCCCCTCGTCTCTTTCTCTTCCCCTGGTAATATTCACGACCAAACATATGGAAGGATTCTCCATCAGCGTCAGTGAAGAGATCCCGTTACCTAACATGTGTGTGTCCTGTCACCACCACCCACCTGTATGTTGGCCTGGCAATATTGACTAACACGCAATGACAAACACCTGCCTCTTTCTCTACCTTCTCATTCTCTCTCTCTCTCTCTCTCTCTCTCTCTCTCTCTCTCTCTCTCTCTCTCCTCTCTCTCTCTCTCTCTCTCTCTCTCTCTCTCTCTCCTCTCTCTCTCTCTCTCTCTCTCCTCCTCACGCTAGATGTATGGTGTTCCCTGTACGTCATCTCCCTTGATCTGTGTCACATAACTTTGATTCGCACATTCACTGTACGGAATTAAATCTAATTTCACTGTGAATTGAAGCTAATTATAAAGGGCAATAAAGCACAATTTGGGCGATACGTTTAGAGGTAACTATTTATATTGATACAGTCAAAGTAATATATATATATATATATATATATATATATATATATATAATATATATATATATATATATATATATATATATATATATATATATATATATATATATTATATATATATATACACAAGCACAATCGTAATTCTCCTTTCGGAAGGTTTAAAATCGAAATGTTTTGGTAAGATTCAGAGCTCTTCCTCGTCTTGCTTCTGCAGATGGTGTGTGGCATTCACTTTTTCCCTTCGCTTCTCCCTCCGTCTTGGAAGTCTGCCAGAAGCACATTTGGGAAGGATATTAGTTAGGACGAGGCCTGGGGATGAGTACAAGAGTGTTAATGCTTCAGTTACAGCTGAATTGCTACTGATGCAGAGGATGTACGCATATTATTACCTGTAAATTGCAATGCAAGGCAATCCAAAGACTAGCAACCTAATACTCTAACAACTGCACCGTCCTGGTCTAATACAACTTGTCCATCAAGGAATATTTCTTTGAACTAGGAAGTTGTGTACGAATGGTATACAATACCGACAAAATGAGATTAAGACACATGTGCAACATCTGGGTATCTTTATTGTAGACGTACAGAAGATGAGGTAATCAGTCCCTCAACCTAGGAGTAGGTGCGAAGAGCACCATATGGTGCTCTTCGCACCTACTCCTAGGTTGAGGGACTGATTACCTCATCTTCTGTACATAGTTCTACTGTCTCCAGTTATGTCCTAGAATTTGTATTGATAAAGCCACTGGATGGCGAAACGTCTACAATAAAGATACCCAGATGTTGCACATGTGTCTTAATCTCATTTTGAACTAGGAAGGTTAGCATGGGCCGCCACTGTGACAACAGATGCAAGCATTTTACAGACGAATGTCGAGCCAACATAACTGTTCATTCTCAAGTTCATGTCTCTTCAGAATCTCAGAATAATAACAAGATTATAACGAACTTGTTTCGTGAGTTGCTTTCATTTGTTTAATTAACATTTCACTGACACGAATATATAATATTTCCTTTCTCCCTTATGTACCTCCTCGCTAAACATTTCTTGTACCTTCTCTCTTTCCTCTCTTCTACTTCCCCAACATCTTTCCTTCCCTCTCACCCCTCCTTCTCCACCCTGATTCCCATAATATATATATATATATATATATATATATATATATATATATATATATATATATATATATATATATATATATATATATATATATATATATATATATATATATATATAAATAAATATATATATATATATATATATATATATATATATATATATATATATATATATATATATATATATATTTATATATATATATATATTTATTTATATAT